TACAAAGGCATCCACATTCGTTAAAGAAACATTATTAGAACTTAAATCTCATCTAAAGCCCCACACAGTTATAGTGGGAGATTTCAACACACCACTCTCACCACTAGACAGTAATACCAGACAGAAACTCAACAAAGAAGCAAAGGGTCTAATAGAAGTAATGACCCAACTGGGATTAACAGATATCTATAGAACATTTCATCCACATAAAAAAGAATATACCTTCTTCTCACCACCACATGGAACCTTCTCAAAAATCGACCACATACTTGGCAACATATCAAATCTCAGCAGCTACAAAAAAATTGGAATAACTCCATGCATCTTATCAGACCACCATGCTTTAAAATTAGAATTCAACAACACAAATTGCAGAAAACCTACAAACTCATGGAAATTGAATAATGCTCAACCTGGGTCAAAGAGGAAATAAAAAAAGAAATTAAAGACTTCCTCAAATTCAATGAGAATGAAGACACAACATACCCAAGCCTATGGGACACTTTGAAAGCAGTGCTACGGGGGAAGTTCATAGCACTAAGTGCTCACATGAAGAAATAGGAGAACAGTTATACCAGAGAATTAACATCACAGCTGAAAGCTCTAGAACACAAAGAAGCAAACTCCCCCAGGAGGAGTAGACGCCAGGAAATAATCAAATTGAGGGCTGAAATCAATAAAGTAGAAACCAGGAAAACAATACAAAGAATCAATGCAACGAAGAGTTGGTTCTTTGAGAAAATCAACAAGATAGACAAACCTTTGTCCAAACTTACCAAACAGCAGAGAGTGAACACGCAAATTAACAAAATCAGAAATGAAAAGGGGGACAGAACAACAGACTCTGAGGGAATCAAGAGAATCATTAGGTCATACTTTGAAAACCTGTACTCCACAAAATTCGAAAATTTAAAGGAAATGGATGACTTCCTGGATAGCTATCACTTGCCAAAACTAAATCAAGAACAGATAAGCAACTTAAATAGACCTATAACCCCTATGGAAATAGAAGAAGTCATCAAAAGTCTCCCAACCAAAAAAAGTCCAGGTCCAGATGGCCTCAGTGCAGAATTCTACCAGAAATTCAAAGAACAGCTTATACCAATTCTTCTCAAAGTGTTCCACACAATAGAAGCAGAAGGGTCTTTGCCAAACTCTTTCTATGAGGCTTCAATAACCTTGATCTCCAAGCCACACAAAGATACAACTAAGAAAGAGAACTTCAGACCAATATCCCTCATGAACATTGATGCAATAATACTCAATAAAATACTGGCAAATTGGATCCAAGATCACATCAAAACAATCATTCACCACGATCAAGTAGGTTTCATCCCAGGGATGCAGGGATGGTTCAACATACGAAAAATCCATCAATGTAATCCACCATATAAACAAGCTGAAAAACAAAAATCACATGATCATCTCACTAGATGCTGAAAAAGCCTTTGACAAAATCCAACACCCCTTCATGATAAAGGTCTTGGAGAGATCTGGGATAACAGGGACATACTTAAACATAATAAAAGCTATATACAGTAAACCAACAGCCAACATCAAACTAAATGGACAGAAACTCAACGTAATTCCTCTAAAATCAGGAACAAAACAAGGCTGTCCACTCTCTCCATACCTTTTCAACATGGTACTTGAAGTTCTAGCTATTGCCATATGGCAACAAAGGGGGACCAAGGGGATACAAATTGGGAAGGAAGAGGTCAAACTTTCACTGTTTGCAGACGATATGATAGTTTACATCAATGACCCAAAGAACTCTACCAGGGAACTCTTACAGCTGATTAACACCTTCAGCAAAGTGGCAGGCTACAAGACCAACTCAAGAAAATCAGTAGCCCTACTATATACAGATGATAAAAGGGCTGAAAAAGAAATCAGAGAAACATCACCCTTTACAATTGCCACAAACAACATAAAATACCTTGGGGTAACGCTAACCAAAAAGTGAAAGACCTGTATCATAAGAACTTTGAATCTTTAAAAAAAGAAATTAAAGAAGCCCTCAGAAAATGGAAAGATCTCCCATGCTCTTGGATAGGTAGGATCAATGTAGTCAAAATGGCAATCCTGCCAAAAGCAATCTACAGATTCAATGCAATCCCCATTAAAATCCCAGCACAATTCTTCACAGACATTGAAAGAACAATAATCAAGTTTGTATGGAAAAACAAAAGACCCAGGATAACCAAAACAACCCTGTTCAACAAGGCAACGTCCGGAGGCATCACCATCCCTGACCTCAAGCTCTATTATAGAGCTATAGTCCTGAAAACAGCTTGGTATTGGCACAAAAATAGACAGGTAGACCAATGGAATCGAATTGAAAACCCGGGTATTAACCCACACACGTACAAACATCTGATCTTTGACAAAGTAGCTAAAAATATACAATGGAATAAAGAAAGCATCTTCAACAAATGGTGCTGGCATAACTGGAGACTGGCATGTAGAAGAATTCGGATCAATCCATGTTTATCGCCATGCTCAAAACTTAAGTCCAAATGGATCAAAGACCTCAACATAAATCCAGCCACACTGAACCTCTTAGAAGAGAAAGTGGGTGGTACCCTTGAACAAATTGATACAGGAGACAGCTTCCTGAACATAAAACCAGTAGCACAGACAGTGAGATCAACAATTAATAAATGGGACCTACTGAAACTGAGAAGCTTCTGTAAGGCAAAGGACACAGTCAGCAAGACAAAAAGGCAGCCCACAGAATGGGAAAAATATTCACTAATCCCACATCTGACAGAGGGTTGATCTCCAAAATTTACAAAGAACTCAAGAAGCAAGTCTCCAAAACATCAAAGGACCCAATTAAAAAGTGGGCTGCAGAACTAAATAGAGAGTTTTCAATAGAGGAGTCTAAAATGGCTGGGAGGCACTTGAGAAAGTGCTCAACATCCTTAGCCATCTGGGAAATGCAAATCAAAACAACTCTGAGATACCATCTCACTCCTGTCAGAATGGCTAAAATCAAAAACACCAATGACAATTTATGCTGGAGAGGATGTGGGGAAAGGGGGACACTCCTCCATTGCTGTTGGGAGTGCTAACTGGTTCAGCCACTTTGGAAATCAGTATGGAGATTCCTCAGAAAAATGGGAATAAACCTACCACAAGACCCAGCAACTCCACTCTTAGGCATATATCCAAAAGATGCCCATTCATACAACAAAGATGTCTGTTCCACTATGTACATAGCAGCTTTATTTGTAATAACCAGAACTTGGAAGCAACCTAGATGTCCCTCAACCGAAGAGTGGATAGAGAAAATGTGGTACATCTACACAATGGAGTACTATTCAGCAGAACAAAATAATGGAATCATGAGATTCGCAGGCAAATGGATGACACTAGAAGAAACCATCCTGAGTGAGGTAACCCAGTCACAAAAAGAGAAACATGGCATGTACTCTCTCATATATGGATTTTAGACATAGATCTGGGGAGTGCCAGCCTACAATCCTATGGCCAGAGAGTCTGGGAAACAGAAACTTCATTTAGTGGCTGATCGAAGAAGAGGCAGACTCCCTTGGTTAAGTACTGAGCTGAACTCAAGAAAGCCAGTAACAGAGAGGGAGGACTGATGACCAAAGGGATTAAGACTGGGCTGGTTTAAGCCCCAGAAACAGCTGACCAGACAAAGGTTAACTCTTGAATCCCAGGCATCAGCCTGGGAATCCAGCATGGGACTGATCAAGACCCCCTGAATTTGGGTGTCAGTGAGGAGGCCTAGGTAATCTATTGAGCCTTGGGCAGCAGATCAGTACCCATCCCAAGTATACACACGGGCTTTGGACTCCCATTGAACAATGTGAGGTGCACTCTCACCCTGAACTCTTGGGGAAGGGTCTAGGCCCTGCCCTATATGAAATGGCAGACTATGGACACCCCCATGGAGGGCCTCACCCTCCCTGGCGGAATGAGGGGATAACGGGGGGGGGGGTTGGGGGGAGGGCACGGGAGGAGGGGAGGGAAAGGGAGAGGGACCTGGAACTGACTTGTGAAGCAACCTTGTTTCTTATCTAAATTTAAACTGGAAAATAAAATAAAAAAAAAAACAAAAAAAACCAAAACACACAAACAAACAAAAAAACAGGATCTAATGCTAGTCCAGATAGACCTGGAACTCTCCGTGTAGCTCAGGTTGGCCTCCATCTTGCAGCAGTCCTCTTGCTTCTACTTTCCAAGCACTGGGATTACAGCAATTAAGTCTGACTGGCTATCATTTTTTTTTTTACAGCAAAATATTTGTAAGAAAATTTAATTAAAATGGATGGTGGAAATAAATACTTAAAGAAGTGTGTGTGTGTGTGTGTGTGTGTGTGTTTGAATGTGTGGTTGTGCAGGTCAGAAGTTGAAACTGAGCATCTTCCTCAGTCACTCAACTGAACATCTTGTTTTCTGAGGCTCTGTCACTGAAGCTGAGGCTAACTCATTTGCCTTGATTACCTTGCAAGCAATCTCTAGAGACCCACTGTGTCACCACCCTAACCCTAAAATTAGACAAAGACATCTTGGTAAAAGAAAATTATTAGCAAAAATATTGTGATAAATATAGGTATATAAGCCCTCTATAGAGCAGCAGTAAGGCAAATTCAATAACTTATTAAAATGATTATGCATTATCATGGAGTAAAATTTATCCCTGAGATATAAATTAGTTTTAACAAATGGTCTTTACTTAATATGATAGAGCACATTTGCAGAAGGAAATTTAAAATGATAAAAGAGAAAAATCATGTCAATCAATATAGACAAAGCATCTGAAAAATATCTTTATTTAAAAATTTAAAGATTTATTTTTTTATGTGTATGATAGTTTTGGTTGCATGTAGATATGTGTACCACATCCATACCTGGTACCCTTGGAGATCAAAAAGAACATCATATGTGGTGAGATATTGTTTATGATTTAATAAAGCCTGCCTGGGGATCAGAATGCAAAGACCATGGTCAGATCCCTTGGAACAGGAGTTATGGATGGCTGTGAGCTATCATGTAGGTGCTGGTAACCAAACCCAGGTTCTTTGCAAGAACAAGCACTCTTAACTGCTGGATTATCTTGCCAGATGCTGTCCTTTCTCTATAACAAGTCTGAACAACTTTTCATTCACAGGCACTTTCCACAGCACAACTGATATCATAGTCACTTCAGGAAAACCAAGTTCTCCATGTAAGAAGGTAAGATATTGACCAAAGGCCAGCCATCCTGCAGTGATTCAGGGAAGGCGAGGGACCCTTTAGGACAATGGTTCTCAACCTATGGGTAGCAACCCCTTGGGGGCGGTCAAATATCAGATACCCTGCATATCAGGTAGTATTTACATTATGATTCATAACAGTAGCACAATTACAGTTATGAAGTAGCAACAAAGTAATTTTATGGTTGGGAGGTCACCACAACATGAGGAACCATATTAAAGGGTCACAGCATTAGGAAGGTTGAAAACCACTGGTTTAGGAGATGGAGGGTAATGGAAGGAAGGAAAGCCACTGGGGAGAGGCACTCTTTAAATACACTTGTGTATTCCGACCATTGTGCTATCCGGGATAATGTGACATGCTAAAAGATAATTTTATCCTCATCCCCAGTCTCTCATCTAAAGCACTTGAAACTGTTTAGTCAGCTGAGTGAATAGAGCTGATAGAAGCAGGATTTGCTATAGTATTTTGTCTCTGAGGCTCCTGGCATGAGAACATTGAAAGTCACTGGAATTTCCTTAACAATAGGAAAAACATCTTTTGCTGTTCATAACAAGCTGTGAAAACCAGCCCTGAGATTGAGTGTGACTTTAGTGGACCCACAAATGGCTCTAGTATGGGAGGTGCTGTCCAAAGGAACCAACAGTATCATCAGAAGACTTAGCTTTCAAGCTCATGCCCTAGAGATGGAAATAGAGCCAGTCACCAAGGGCCAATGATTTAATCAACTATGGTCATGTCATAGACCTTTAATTCAAGACAAGCCCTCAAGTACAGCTAGGATATAGTTCAGTGGTTAGAGTGCTTTTAAGATTCTGAGTTTAGTCTCCCACACCAGAACAAGCCACACACCCTGTATTGTAGATAGATTCAGAGAGCTTCTACATGGTGAGTACATCTCATGGCAGGTGTGGTTGTCTCATCTCCATGGAGACAGAATCCCTGAATTTGGAATCTTTACAGACACCGTTATCTCTTCAGTTGTATTCTTATGCTATCCCCTGTAGTAAACTAGAAAAAAAAAAAACGAGTTACCGTGACAAACTCATGAATGCAAGGAAGGACTCATAGGAACCTGTAGTTTAGTTTGTTGGTCAGAAGTGTGGGAAGCCATACCTGTTTGGGTCATTTGAGTCAGAATCACACCAAATTGTTAGCTGATGTTTCCAGATTTGAAGACATCAATGTGAAAAGTCTCATGTTTGGTGTCAGAAGAGTTAGGCATGGTCAGGGTTCATAGAACCTGAATTAATGATTTCTTACTCACCATTCTGTAGGCTAATAGATGTAGTCATGTGGGCTTTGAGGTGACGAGTGTGTGTGTGTGTGTGTGTGTGTGTGTGCGCGTGTGTTTACTTTTCTGTTATCTTCATTCCTGAGTAAGCATAGCTCAGATTCTCCAAGACCTGGTACCAGTCTTCTTATTTTAGCAATCTAATTTTCCAGGTGTCAGTTTGACAGTTTATACTATATTTATAACAAGGCAATATGATGAATTTCTAGGTAGCAGAAGTTGATGTGTTTATGGATCCTTTTTTTCCAAAGGCAGAAACTGGTGGAGTCTCTCCTTTGACTGACATTTTGATCAAGGCTCTGAGTTTTTCTGACTTCGGAGGTCCCTCTTTGCCCTTGTAGAAACCTGTTTGAACAAGAATCTTGGCAAATTGGCTCTGTGAAAGTTTCTGCTCTTGTTATCTGAAAGCTTTGAGATACTGGTCACATTTGGAAATAACCCTAGGAAATAAGTTTAACCAGGCATCTCTTATCCTTGATGTTTCCCTCTGTTAGTTTTTGTTCACAGATCCTTACCTACTCTTTGGTCATAAATGTGTTATGTGTGTTCTCTACCTCATTGTAAGATCTTGTACCTATTACAATGGTTCCCCTTGATAAAGTCCTCTTTACTGTCCCTGGTAGTATTTGGGAGATTTATCCCAGTTTTTAGTTTCTTTCAGCAAAGCTTGCCTGTCTGTGGGGACTTGGACACTTCTCTGGTTTCTGGTTTCTGTTGCCTATTTCCCCTATTATTTCTAAGCCCCAAAGATGACCAGACTCAAACTTGGATGCTCAGCTTTTCCACAAGTTTGCTTCTGCTGACATCATAATTTGAAAAGCAAATAAAGTGATAACTTATTTGAGTCAGGGATACAGCTTGATGGTAAGTGCTTCCCTGGCATGTGTGAGGTCTCAGGTTCTATCATCAGCACTGTAAAAACAAAATCCAATGCCCACAAAAAGTCTGGTTTGTTTTGAGACATATTTTCCCTATGTATTGCTGCCTGTCCCAGAAATCGTTATGTATAGCAGGATAGCTTTAAATTCACAAAGAGCTGTCTGTCTTTGATTCCCAAGTTCTGGGATGAAAGGAGTAGAACACCACACCTAACAATAAAAAAGCAATATCAAAAAGCACTTTAAAATTTCCTTTGTTTCCTAGGCTTCTCATCTGATGTCTTCTCATTCTGATACCCCCACCACCGCTCCGGCCCCTTCCTCCACTTTTCCTCTCCAGTGTCGGAATGCAACAGTTGACATTTGTTCAGTGATGTCACCAGTTGCTTTCTGTGTCTCAGAAAACTGGTAAAGATAAGATAAATTCTTAAATGCCATTTTACATTTACACAGCCTTTGCTCCCCCATCTACAGACTTTTGATCATCTACTTGGGTGACTTGTACATTTGAAGAAAGGAAATATTCAAAACTGTTGTTTCGTGGCTCCATCTGCTGGAAGGAGTGTGCACTACCGAGTTTTTATTACCGGACACACAGAAGCAAGGGCAGTTTAGACCCAATCCCTAGAAACTTCTGCAAGCACGCAGTTAACTCAGCACAGTCATGAAACCATTTTAAGCTGTGTTGTAAAAGTGCAGAGAAGTAGGAATTGTGACCCTCTGGGCTTTCCCTCTCATTGTCACCTTGTACCTGTCCCTCGTTTCTTCCTCTCAGAAGGAAATTTCATTCACCGGATAGTCTGGCTCCTGTACCCAGGGTGTCTAGTCTAGCAATTATCTTTGCAGTACCAGGCCCTGCCGTAGGCTTTGCCCATCTTGTGCTGTAACCACATTTTACGTAGCTATGGGAGTGCTGACATTTTCCTGGGAGATGGCGCTCCTCTAGAGTAACAGTGTATTTGGAAGGACTCTGTTTTTTTCCCCCCCTGTGTGTCCACTTTCCTTTCTATATTGGGTTTAGGAGGGTGTTAGGCAGCAGTTCCTTCCAAGATCAGAACTATTCAAAAGAGTTTCAGGAAGTCCCTGAAACTGATCAGATTCACTAGGCTTCTCCCTGCCATAGTAAGCAACAAAAGTTGAGAGACCTCAGTTGGAAGGAAGCTGAGCTACCAAAAAGAAAGACACCCCCCCTCCAGAAAAGTTATCTGTCCAAGAAGACTCAGACAAGATGAACTGCAAAGAAGACTCCGAGACCAGACCAGCTGCCTGGAAGGAGCATAAACCAGCCCAGCTACCCGGAAGAGGTTTAACCAAATAAATCATTTGGAAAGGGCATTCTCCAACCTATTTAGCTGCCTGCAGACTGTGCAGTGTCTCCTAGCATTGTGAGCTGGCCTCCTGCTGGGGCAGGCTTTGGAAATGCATCTGTCTTTAAGTCATTTCTGTCCCTGTAAGCAACCCCTCACCCATATTCCTGTAAGTAACCCCAATACAACTCGTTGGTTCACCAAGTTGGACTTTGGTGGTATTCATTCTTTGGTCTGTTGGGGATTCCCTGCCTGGGTCAAGTAGGTGTGATGCTGCATCTCCCCAGGAAAACTCTTATCACACAACATAGGCCTCTAAGACTTTAAGCTCCAACAGTCCATACACCATGAACCCTTCTAATTAAACTGAGCCCACTGAAGAAAAGTAGTGGTTAACTGGACAATTTTACAGTCATCTCTCTCCCTCTTACAAACCAACATCCAGAAATCTGCTTGGGTGACTTGTACATTTTACAAAAGGAAATAAGGAACTTTGGCAATTACTGTATGTTGGTTTTTTTCTCTTTACCTTTTGGTCTTTGGGGGCCTGCCACCCAGCTCCCAAATAAATGCACAGAGTCTTTTTATTTTTTATAAATGTCTGGCCTTGGCTTGGTTTGTTTCTAGTCAGCTTTTCTTAACTTAAATTATCCCATATACCCTTTGATTCAGGACTTTTACCTTTCTCTTACTTCTGCATATCTTACTCTTACTCTGGCTGGCTTTATGATTGGGTGGCTAGCCCTTAGCATCCTGCTCTCCTATTCTTTCTCCTTTTCTCTCTTGCTATTTATTCTCCCTGCTTGCCAACCCCACCTATCCCTTCTCCTGCCTCACTCTTTATTAGACCATCAGGTGTTTTAGGCAGGCAAAGTAACACAGCTCTACAGAGGTAAACAAATGCAACATAAAAGAATGCAACACATCTTTTCATCATTAAACACATGTTCCATTGCATAAACAAATGTCACACCTCTTAAAATAATATTCTACAATAACTAGACACTGACCAAACTACCAGGATCACCGGGATATTCAAATGTCACATTGTTCCACTTAGCTGAGTAATGGTCCCTGGATACCTGATAATCAATGGGGTTAGGGTTTTCTTGTCTCCATGACAGCCTGCCTACTGGGATTCCTAACCCTATGTTATGGCTTCTCACCAGGGTCAGAATGAATAATGAGTACAGACATACTCAGCAACTGGCCAAGCCTCTAACGACTTGATTCGTGAAGTGAAAGCTACCACAAAGGAAAGTCCAAGGAGAGGCCAGTAGAAGTTCCTCTACTAGGGGATAGACCAAGAGCAACACCACAGTGTGTTGGAAGAAACTGCAGAAGTTAGTAAGACCATCAAGGACTTGAAATAATTCAGGATGATGATTTCTGACAAATTTTCAAAGGTACCCCATCCTCCCAAGCAAGGACCAAGGAAAATTACAGGAAAGAGAGTGGAAAAGAATGAGAAAGAGTGTCATGAAACTGCCACCCAAATAGACACTGCCACTGCAACCCTGAACACACAGCAGCTGGGGATCCCTGCACAAGACTAGGCCATCCAACTTCCCATCATAGAGAGTGGGGGAGCCCAAGACCCTGAACTCTTCCTGAGGAGCTAATGATTTCTGAAGGAGGGGGTGTCACTTTCTCTAATGATATAGCCAATGAAAGGATAGATGGAAAAAGGATTTATAGGGAAAGGGAGGGGGTACTAGTGAGTGATGGGGTGAATCTAATCACAATACATTGCAATGCATAAATGTATGAAATTGTCAGGAATGAATGGAAGAATTTTTTCTTTCTTTTTTTTGCTCACAGTTTGAAATCACAGCCCATTAGTGGGAAAGAACAGCTCTAGCTGTGTCAATAGGAGTTGAGGCAGCTGTCACATCAACAATCACATTGACAGAGAGCAGAATAAGATGAATGATGTGATCAGCTCACTTTGTCCTTCTAAACACCAACTCATAGCGCAATGCTCCCCAGGAGGAGTTGGGTACTTCCTCCTCAGTAACACTCTCATAGGCCAGTCCCTAAGTAATCCGTGTCTCATAGTTGAGGACCTTCCCGACATCTGCACCCGTTCGAATGCAGTGTTGGGGAAGCTCCTTTTGAAGATAATTTCACTACAATACTCTCTAAAATAACCAGACACCTTAGAGCTTATAAGAAATCATGAAAACTGATGACAAAAAGTACTCAGTTAGAAGGGTGATGGTGTATGTGAGAGAGAACAAAAGACAGAACTGCCCTCAAGGCTACTGATGCTTTTGTCAGTGCTAGAATATGAAGACCAAACTGCTAGACCAGCTGCAAGGCGACTCTGTGATTGGCCACCTTCCCATTAGTCTTTGAATGGCCTTAGGTCTTCCAAAACTAGCTCCCTCTTCCCCTTGAGGGTGAGCATACATTCTCCTCTGGGTAAGAAAGCATTTGTCCTTTCTCTGTTAAAAAAAATCACATTACCTGGACTGTGGATACCATTCCAGAACAGAGTGCTTACCCAGAATGCCAAGGCCCTGCATTTAACCCCCAACACACTTGAACTTTCATTATCCAAAATCAGCTAAAGTTAAAATGAAAAATCAACAAACGCTTCAGAAAATGAGCCAAGGTATCAACCTGTTGATCAGGAAATACAAAGACCAATTTTGGTCACATAGGATTTTATCAATTCAAATAATCATGTGGTTCATAAATAATGATGTTTAGGTGATTTTAAGGAATAAATGAAAGAAAAGTGTTCCCTTGGTAAGAGACCATCAAAAGCTAACTGGGAGGTTTGAAAATGGCTAACTTCCTATGATTGGAAACTATAATCGTAATCATCAAAATCAGAAACTAGTCAGCATAGTGGCACCCACCTGTAGTTCTAGCATTTAGGAGACTAGACGGAGGATTATAAGTTTGAGGCCAAGCTTAAAAAATTATATGATAATAACAATTATAAAATTAGGCTACATAGTAAGAACACGCCTCTATGAACCTAAGCAGACAAAAGAAACTGCTCAGTGGATGAGTTAGCAGAGTACACAAAAGGAAATAGATATTTATGAGCTGGAAAATACATATGAAAACGTTGCTAACAAATTAGCACAGATCAATGGTTATAAGAGCAGTGTGAGCAGTTAAAAGAAACTGAGAGAGAAAATACTTGATACTCTTCTGGCTTGACCAGCAGAAGAAAAGAGAAAATAGAGGAAGAATTTGGAATGATGTCTGAACGGATCTGTCAATTTTCATTTCGCACACCTTAAGCATAATTTATTAAATAGATTACCTTCATATCTGTCATACTTTCCTAGTGGATTCACCCTGGGACTCTATAAAAAGTGGTTTGCTTATCTAAAGAGCAGAAGAGGGATTGGGCAGTCTTATGGAACTCTTAGCTGAATTTGTGTTTACTACCACTGTATTTCTAAGCCCCAAGGACTGTAACATGCCTTTGTTTTGGGAGTAATGTACCATGATATGTCTTTCTGGTCCCCCTGGTAAGAGAAGAACATCAACATAGATGGTATGAGATGCCTTGAGATTATTGTGACTGAGGGATTGGAAGCATCATGTGGTGATATATTATTTATGATTTACTAAATCTTGCCTGAAGATTCAGAAAGCAAAAGTCAGCCACAAGCCATGGAAGTCAGGTACACATCTTTAATCCCAGCAGCCAGAAGCTAGGGGGTGATGGTACACACCTTTAATCCTAGGACTCAAGAGTAAGATGTAGAAGAATCTCTCTGAGTTCAAGACCACCCAGGGATACACAAGATTGGGATCAGTTTAAATCAGTAACAGATCACACACCTTTAGTTACAGAACTAGAGGGGTATAAAAGATAGAAGCAGAGTCTTCAGTAGTCAGTATGAGGCATTCATTCTCCAGTTAGGCCCAGGAGAGGTTACAGTCTGAGGTTTGGTGAGAGCTTGTGGAGATAGGATCAGCCCATTCAGCCTGAGGTAGAAGTAAGAAGCTAGTGGCCAGCTGCTTTGCTTTTCTGATCTTCAGTTTGAAACTTGAACCCCAGTATCACTCTCAGGGTCTTTTATTAATGTGTGTTACAACATCAGAATCCAAGTAAGAGTATTATTAATGAAGCCTCAGAGGTTTTTTTTTGTAATTTCAAACTCTTCTATTTAAAATTCCCATAATGTGTAGAAGAATAAGGATATGCAAATATTTTTAATAGATTTATGGATAGGTGCTCAAAAGAAAAAAAAGAAATAAAAATAAATACTATAAGGAAACATGAACTCTACTGAATTGAGTATTTTCTTGACTTTTAAAAGTATAAAAATACCATCTAGAGAGCAAGCTCTGTGGTTAAGACTGTGTACTGATCTTTCAGAGAACCCCGGTAAGGTTCCCAGCACCTGTGTTGGGAACCTTATAGTTGAATGTAACATCAGCTCCAAGAGACCCCACATCCTCTGCTGATCTCTGCAGATTCTTGCACACATGAGTACACACCCCAATCCACCCCACACAATTAAACATAATAAAATAAATCTTAAGAGAGAAAGTATGCAAAAACAATGAGTGCAAGACTAACATGAAATCACCATTTAATTTTTCCATATCATAACAACTAAACAAATGAGTTTTAAGAAGAGATATTTTAAAAGTTTTGTAACTACACATGCGCTCATGGGAAAAATAAAAATATAAACAACCATTGTATTGGAAAAAATTAAATTCACTTAAAGTTTAATATACAAACTCATTTTCCTTTTTGGTCTCGGTGTATTTTTCTAAGGAATGGCATTGAGACCTGAAACACAGAGATGTACCATTTCTCATAGGGACACATGGAACAAGAATATCCCCATTCAGATAGTCTCAAGAAAAAACTTGTGATGATATATTATTATGATATATTAAAACTTGCCTGAGGATTCAGAAAGCAAAGTCAGCCTCAAACTATAGATATCAGGCAGTGGAGATACACACCTTTAATCTCGGGATTAAGAGGTAGAGGGATCTCTGTGAATCTAAGGCCACCTAAATCTACACCCAGATGCAGTTCTAAAGAGAAACAGCTCACACAAAAATGATCTCGGCACCTGGGTCACATGTCTTTAATCCCAGCACTAGAAGAGTATAAAAGATATGAGCAGGGTGTTTGGTAGCCAGTATGACATTCATTCTCCAGCCATATGGAGGATAAAAAAACTTTGAAGTCTCAGGATTCTCCAGACACT